GACATATAGCGTTTTTCTGTTTTTATGTAGATAAATAAAGGATTAAATTACTTCAGCAGGTAATCAAAAGGAATGCAATAGGAAAAAGTAAGTGAATCTTTCGAGAGGACAACGTCACATCTACTGGTATGACGAAATTAAGAGAAATGTTTTTTTTTTTTGAATAGCGGAACCCATGGCAGAACGCTGGCACGAAGAAATTACAGATATGTACGAAAGCCTGAGTAATTTGGCTACCTGCGTTTGGAGTTGCCCGTGCCAGCGTCGTGCTATGTCGTGCCGGATCGCCCGTTGACCGATGCGAGGAGCGTGCACTTGAGTTCCAGCACGACGCTAACACAACACTGGCATAGCAATGGTGCTGGCGTGGCGCTGGCACACTGCTGACACAGCTCTGGTACGCTCACAAAAGAGACTCTACATACATAAAAGAAAAATGTTGAGTTTGTTCGCATTTGAGAACTTCCCTATACTTTAGTTTCCAAAATGCTTCAAACGAATTGAACGCAAAATTTTCAGCTTACAAGCATTTGATGTTGAAATTTTCTGGTTGACTCAACATGCTAACCGGAAGCGTCTATATATTCAGCCAAAAATTATACACCCGATCAATAATTGTTGGGGAAAGTGTAAGGGGGAAAAAGAAGAGGGTTAGGTGTGCTCATCAAAATGTCTGGATATTTTCTGTAATTTGAGAGTTATTCTAGTTTTGTAGGTATAAGGTTGTCCTATAAGTCTTTTCATTTTTAAACTTTCGCTATGATAAGTCATGCACGTCTTATTCCAAATAGACTTCAGAATACCATTCGATAGAGCGAAGCAAGCTCTGTAAAATGGCGTTTGTGCTTTTGCACCAGCTTCGATCCACCTCAAGTTTGAAATCGGAATCTGAAGAGTTTCGGATGCACAGAAAATTGAAAATTTTTAATAACTTCGCTCAGAATAGTTCCACAAATCTCTCATTCGCTCACGCATATACACTTCACAACAGACACTCATATCTGATGTTGAGGTCTTTTTTCATTGGCTAGATATCAAGAAAACGAAAAATTCCATGTTTTACCAAAGTGATGCTATGCTGTTCTTACACTAACAATTGTATACTACGAAACTTTGGAAGTACAACCGTAACTTTTTAGCTCTTTATGAGCTTTAGTTACCGAGAAATGCTAGGTTAAGCTTGCCCGGAGCCCGAATGAGGAAAGCTAACTTCGGTATTTCTCGGGAACTAGAGCTCATAGAGAGCTAAAAATTTGGTTGTACTTCTAAGGGCTTGTAGTATACAATTATTATTGTAAGAATAGCACACATTATTTGGTGAAAACATGGAAGTTTTCGATTTCTTGATTTCTAGCCAATAGAAAAATACACCAGTAGCACATATGAGTGTTTGATGTGGTGTGTAGATGCGTGAACGAGTGAGAGATCTATAGGACTTTTCTGAATGAAGACTTAACTAATTTTTTTCTGGGCATCCGAAACTTTTTAGATTTTGGTTTTGAACTTAAGGTGGATCGAAGCCGGTGCAAAAGCATAAGTGTCATCCTATAGAGCTTGCTTTGCTCTATCGAATGGTTTCCTAATGTCTATTTGGAATAAGAAGTGTATGACTTATTAGAGCGAAAAAACTGATGAAAAATCTTTATGGAAAAGTTCAAGGATTAGGTAACAAGGTAAAAGACACAGCGAGAAAGCTTGATCAAACACGTCAATAACTCCCAGAATTTTTTCTAACGACGTGAAAAAAATCGCTTTTTTAGACCTCTCTTGAAAATCATCCGGGCAGAACATAAAGTGCTTTGCCCTTTTACTTCCAAATCAAGGCCACTGCGCAAGCCTTCGCGATGGAAGAATGGATTTCTTAAAAGCAGTCTTTTTTTGGGTCTTACGCTCGCGAGAATGACGTGTATCAGTCTATGCTCTAATCTTGGAACAGATTTAATTATTTACTTCTCTTGCAAAGTGAATGAAGTTGATCTCCTCAGTGTTTTCATCTCGCATTTTCGTTGTTTCTGATTATAGCCCCAAAATGTTCCGTCAAGTAATTGAGCCAATTTGTATGTTGTGCAAAGCTTCTATCTTTCTCAAATCTGATGATTTTGAAAAGAAAGGTTCACAATATCATTCTGATCTTGTTATGAGTACACTAAATATATGAGGTATCTGCATAGAGCAGTTTAAAACGAAACATATTACTGAACCAGTTTTACTTCGGACCTATAATTTTATTTCGAATAAAACACATTGTATCTGACAAGTTTTACTTCAAACCTGTAATTTTGTTACAAAAAGGGGAATAAAATCTGAAGAGCAGTTTATTACCTTGATTGATTGTTTCCAAGATGATGGGTAATAAATCTTACTCGGGCTGCCAGTCGAATCGCCACTCTGGAGCTGTTTACTGCATATTTTTATCAAATTTTGCAGAAGTGGAAGTATTGCTAAGCAAGAGAGAGCAAAAATTGATTCTGGTTTTTCCTGGAATGTGTAGACTTTATCTCGATTTGACGTGATTCCCCTCAAATTATAACAGATTATTAAAATTCACAAGTGTCTTCTATTGTGCTAAGCCAAATCATTTTTTAATATAAATTTGGCATCTTTTGCTACCCAAACTTTTCAAACTTGTAAATCATTCAAAGTTTTAACGATGGGAAATCAACGAGTTATAAACTTTTTGTCCTCGTGTGCGCAAAATTCTTGGCCTATGAAATATTTGTGGGTTTTCTATCTTTGAGATTTTTCGAGTAGTATTTTACAACATTTTTTGGGTTTCCATCACATTCTTTGAATTCTTTCTCATACTTTTTCCAGCTACCTTCTTTTTCCATTTTTTCCTACCTGCACTTTGTAGCACGTCTATCTCCCTACGAAATAACACTAATAAAATCAAATAGCTTCAAAATCATATTTAGGACAATTGCTGTGCATGCTGTGCGAGGCAGATTCGTCAATCTAGATTATCAAAGATATCTATATTAACGTTTGTACAAATTATTCGAACATGCATAGCCGACAATCCAACTCCAAAATCTCAAAAGGTTATTTTCTATTTTTGGAATTCATCATCTTTTTCGTGCTTTCTCCTGCTGCATATTTTCAGTGCTTCCGCCTATTCCTTTATTTCAAAGAAAAACCCAGTATACATGAAAAATAAGCTAGCAAATGAATCTCTTCGATTGTAGGGTTGATACCTAGGAAAGATATGTAGCTAACGTTAGGAAATTCAGTAATTTGAAATATGGCTGAGATTACATACCAAATTTTGATCTCTCGGCATTTACTTTTTGCCCTTTGTGGAAATAATAGCGGTGGACAAGGCTGATCTCAGAATTGTTCTCGGAAATTTGCTCGCTGGTGAATGCTCTTCATAAATCTTGTTCTGATTGCTAACCATTATGGATTCTGATTTTACGTAATCATTCTCAGAAACCAGTAAAACCAGGTACAACGAGGCCCTATTTCTTCCTTTTTTCTATACGTTTGCACGTCTATAAAGGTGCGAAAAGTCTGAGTAAAACACTTGACTTGTTTCACGATAAGCATCAATCTTGCCACACAGCCGCAACTCCCAAAATCTTTTTCCCTTTTCTTTTTCTTGGTTGAGTCTAGGCACCATCTTTCATATGACAGCAGTGATGGTATAATTTTTTCTTGGAGAAGGAGTACATCTTAGAGCACAGCGTTGATATCTCTCATTATTTGGTGATTCTCCAGGTGAGTAGTCTCAAATGTGTTCCTGTATAACCCTTCTTTTTTCTTTTTTTGTGAGTCTTAGCAATATTTTTCAAAAGATGGCCTATTTTCTGCGAGGGAAATGCACTCAAGAAAACATCGTGGAGATTTCTTAGCGTTTAATTCCTTTTTTTTTCATGAATAAGCTGAAAAGCATGAAAAAAATGAATAAGCTCACTTTATGAGTGAGAAAATCGAAGTCATTTCAACGGGGCCTTGTTCAGCCTGGAATTCTCCTAAAACATGCTGGCTACTTCCCCCTGTATCAGCAGTCACAGTTCTAATTTAACATTTATGAAGTTCGAAACTGGAATTAAATTGTTCAGAAACTAAATTCATAAAAAAATTTCTGGCAATAAATTTCGGCAAATTTGACCACCTTTGATGCTGCTTTTGATGTTAGAACGCGGGATGGTGTGTTTTTTTGCCAAGGACCTGTGGTTATATAAATTGCAAAATTTCCATCCATCGGGTTGAGAAGCTTGAGCTAAATGGAAGAGATGAGCCTCTTTTTTATGAACAGGCAAAGATGAAATTTGAAAAATTCAAAATGCTCGAACGATTTTATTTTGAAAAGGCAAACAGTGGAAATCAACAACACCTTTTTAAGGTAATGGTAAGAGCGCGATTTCTTATCCTTTTTTTCTGGGCTGAAGGGAGGGGAGGGGAAGGCAAAATTTCTGAAGACATGACGACTCATACAAGCATCGTCTAGAATATCTATTTTTTGTCATAGATCTGCTCTTTCTTTTTTCTTATTGCAAAATAATATGATAGTATTTCCACTTTACCCAGTTTAGAGCGCAAGAGCAGTTGAACTGGCATTCTGGGATTGACAATCAGATGGCGTTTTCGTTGTTTTTGCGCTTCTGCTTTCTGCTCAAAAGTGAAGGAACGGCGTCCAGCCATCTATCGCTGTAATCCCGGCATGATCCCGACTGACACTCCTCCTCCACCTCCTGCAGCCTCGACGCTCGGTTCCACCTTCAACAAGAGGAGGCGTGGGGAGACATCTTCGGCGTTTTTTCAAATTTTCGCACATTTTAACGATGGGAGTGTAGTTCTTCGCCGGGGACCATGTGTAGAGCCAGCTAGGCTCCCACTCAAATAACATAAGGGGTGTGGCCCCGTATCGGTCACGCCTCTCCCGCACTCCCGTCATACCAGCCCGTTCGCGAGACCTTTTGTTGCATGGAGTTCTTGTTTACCACTTAGCGTTTGATTGTTCGTAATTCGCTTATTTTGAGCTGATCTACCCCTAAATGCTTTCAGCTTCTTTCAAAGCTTTATGTGATGGATTTGAAAGAGATCGCCGTCTACCTAGTGGTACTTTTTTCGTCCCTTGCCGAAGCGATACGGTGTAAATGCACAAAAGAATCGGAGTCGGTATCCTGCGTTCATGGAGTATGTGAGATGGAGCCTGGATGTAAGTCATCTCTCGTTTCTTCCCAAAAAGCCGAAATTTTACCTCCTCTCTCTCACAAACAAACGTTAATCGACTCTACTGACGTCTTCTCTCTACTTCCTCGCTCAGATTACATCCTCAGCCTATAACTCTCCCATTACTTATGCGTCCTTCGAGAAATGCATTTCGTTTTTTCCCCACGGTCTTCGCCGAAAGCGCGTAAGAAGTCGCGTTTGCATGCGTTCGTGCCGAAACAGCTGTGCTCTGCGTATGTGACTTCTCCCTTCTCAAGAGAAAATCACGGCTGTGCTCTTTGAGTTTTTCTTTTTCTGACTGAATAACCCAAGAGGTCCAGCCTTTATGCCGATGCTTACGTTAGACACAAGCATATAAATTCGAAGACGAGGAATGATGGAAGAAATGCGAATGGGAGTAGAAGAGGAGCGGGAATGTTAGGCACTCATTGGACTGGTCTCTACTATAAACGTGTTACTGGCACAGTTTCTAATAGAAGTGTTTGCGTTTACGATGTTTTCCTCTCCCAAACAGCAAAGCACAATCAGAGCAATGAAGCTCTCACATGCTTTGGTTTTTCATATAGATATTGAATTCATAAGACTAGCAAAATTTTTATTTGTCGTCCTCCACCTTCAGCGGAATCGTTTGTCTTGAAATAGATTAGAAAGAGGAATTCTAATGCTTTCTAGAGTGGAGTCAGAATTCTTTCTTGACTTAGCGCTACGATACAAGCTGGTCAAGAAGAACACGATAGTGGTTCTTCAAATGTTGTCTACTCCAGTCTAATTTTGGTTTTGATATTGGTTTCACAACCTGCTCCTTTTATCAGAAAAATTCTTGCAGGCCCTATATACGCATAGTTATGACTTTCCAAAATTTCATTTAAATCCTTGTTTTTGATATAAATGAAATCGGGTGGAGGACATTAGGTCGCCGAATTTGGAAGAGTCCCGCGCAGATTCCATGCAGGAAAGCATGTCCGCTTATGTACAAGGGTGCATATTTGTCGCAAATGACCGCGGGGACCGCCCTCTTTCGGCGACCTAATGTCCTCCACCCAATGAAATCTCTGACATGTATAAGATACAACATTTTTTGAAATTGAAATATGTATCTCAAGAAGGAACATTTTCACAGGCCATATTTTTGGTTCAAGATGTGTGTCAATGTTTATTATGCACCTTCATACTGAGCTATGTACGTACCATTTTCAACAGCTATTTATTCCTTAATCATCAAAAATATCGTTATTTTTTATTTTTAGGTGGTTTTTATCAAAAGTTACAAAAGCGAAATAGAAGAAATTAAATTTTTTGAGAGTGATCCTTCCACATCATTAATTCATTCGGATGAACATCGCTCCTAACACTTCAGCATCTAATATTCTGCAAAACTTGAAAATTGCAACAAAACCAGGGAACAATTACTAAATATACACTTTCTGACTTCACCGTCTGGAGAAATTGAATATAGGATCAGTTTTAAGATTTTATTATGGGGATCTCGCAGTTCAGCTATGCGAACATGTGCGGAAAGAAACAAAGAAGCACTCGGAAGCAGCTGTTCAGCTGGATCCTAGCTGATGACGTAACGAAAACAACCACTGCATAATTTATAATGCAAATAAGATAAGAAGACAAATAAATAATAAAGGGGAGTGCGAATAATAGCGCTTAGTAGATGGTCAATAAACAGAAAATGGTAACATACATACTTTGATTTTGCATTAATTATTATTCCAAACCTCAAATCTGTCTACATTTCTTGAACGTAATATTTTTACTCTTTTTTGGTAAAATGATTTTTTATTATTTGCAAAAAGTCTAGTCTTATTTTTATCTGTATTTCCTGAGAACCATCAAAATGCTAGTTCAGTTGTTACATCAATTGCAAATCTAAAACGGTTTGAGAACTGAGGCTATAGTAAATTTCAAAAACAATTGGAGATTTTTTAATTTCTTCTCTCCTTTTGATACTGTGTTAAAATCCAAACGATCAATATTCAATGCTCCACATTTTTTCTTCTGAGAATAGTCTAAATAATCGTTTTGATGACTAAGCTTCAGTTTCTTCGAATTTCTGAACAACTGCTTATATGTAAACTATCTGTACTTGGTGCTTGGACGTATTGAGTCACACTCTTAAAAAACATAGTCAATTAATACTAGTAGTAAACTGGCTTTCAGCAGGAAAATCGTTCTCTGAACTCATTGAAATTTTTTTCTGCAAGCACTCCGAAATCATCATAGCCACTTTTTTCGATAGTAATTTTTTTCAACCTAGCACAAAGTCGTGTCTAGTTTCTCGATATTTTCCCCACATAATCGGCTACATTTCAAGCCATGCGAGACCACCAATTAGCATACATCCCGTATAGTCACAATAGTGTTCGAAAAGAGTGTCGGTGGGGCGAATTCCCCTAATCCAGCCTCGGCGCATCCACGCCAGTTGTGGTTGAGTTGTTTACAGTATTGCCAAGCAAGTACTAGAAAGAGAGAGAGATGTGTGTGCGTAAAGGATCTGCCATGATCTAGGGGAAATGGGAGTGTAAAGGGAGGGAAGAATGGAAGTTTAGGTTTTTTCAAGGTCTGCAAAATGTGTGAATGTAATAGTAATTAAAAACCCTTTCCATGACAAAAACAATAAAAAAGCTCTAAAGTGGTTCTTGTTACCTCCGAAGAATTTTCAATCTGCTTCAAAAATCGAAATCTACTTGCAAATAGTTTTCGACTAATTCTTGCAAAACCATTTGATTAAGAAGACTACAAATTTTCTTGACTGCAAAACTAGTAAGTATGGCAAGTACAGAGTTGAATTAGGAGGTAAATTTAGTACGAATATTTTCTCAAGAGCTCTTGATGAAATTTGTTGCCTAAGAAACCAGCTCGATGAACACTCCTCATAACTCAGAAAATAATGCATTTCTTTATTTTCCAAAAATCAATATTGCCTTTTACATGGCCTTGCACTAGTATTACACTCATATATTGAATTGAGTTACAATTCTTCTGCAAAAAGGTGGAAGGTTGCAAAAATTTAGTATTTTTGAAGTTTTGCAATTCCGCGTTTTCTTTTTCAGTATTTATGAAATCCTCATAGAATCCTCCGACAAGTTGACAAAATAACACTGACGTGAGTATCAAATCGGCCAGTTCCTAGGTCCCGAAACTCCTTTCTAAATATTTCTGAAGACAAGCCTAGAAACGAAACTCTTGCAAAGCTAAACTATTCGCCCCCTCGTGAATTCAGTGAATTCACTGAAGCACGAATCCATTACCTGCATCCATACCGGAAACCACCAACACTAACTTTTTGCTGACTTTTCTTGCACACACATACTGCTTGGAAAGAGACTTTAAGTCACGAATGACCACATTCTTCACATATAAAGTGGTTTTCTAGCCTTCGCACCGTTGCTGCTAAAGCAAGGGTGTGCAAATTTAGAGAGTGAGTCAACATTTTACACTGAGTATGAGTCATAGGCAACGGAGTATGGTAGTGATTACCTTGAAAGTTGAGTGCACGCTCTGAATACCTTTTAGGATCCCTTTTAGGATCCCTAGAGTCCTCAGAGTTTCCGGAAGTCGTGTCTGTTTGCACCCCAGATGGCCTTTGTTTATACCAGTCCCTCTGGTCCGAGTGCTGACCTTCGCGGGCATCGAACCGAATGCGAACAATTACAGCCCCCGTTCAAATTATTCACTAATTACGTGACCACCCCCGTGAGTGAAAAAGGTGCGGAGTGCAGTTCACACGATTATGTCCTTACTCAGGCAGAGCCCGTGGTTGTAGTGGTCCCCCCCCCCCCCCCCTTCTCTGGCCACGAAGTGAATGGCAAGCCATTAGGCTGCGCGGCATTACTAACTCCACATGCCCCATGAATTTGCCATATGAAAGGCACACGGTTGAGAGCGCTTCGCATCGCGATCTCAGCCGGGGAATAGGCAAGAAAGTACGCGGTAAAAACGGGGCAAAGGTGCGAAATCGAATTTTGCCTTGGATAGGGAAAAAGGATTCCGGGGTGACTAAGGGGACAACGCCATGGTATAAACACTTTTTATGAAGTTTATAAAAAAAATCCTGCGAGGTCAGTTAGGAAGGTTTCCAAAAAATATGCAAGAAAAGATTCTTTATCTGCATTTGCATTTGTATAGCCCGCATTTTCTCCTGCACTTCAACATTCAAAAAATTTTGTGAGCAAATTCTGAGGGTTCGACGATATGGTCCCATGACCAGATGTAGAAGGAGGTCATTTAGATTTCGCCGTTAGAACCAGAAAGTGGAAATGAAACGAAAGAAGTAGAAAGCCGGAAAGACAACAAATCATTTTCCTTGACTTTCCAAAACGCGTAGAATTTAGTTGATGACTGCGGATCCCTGGCTGAAAAATTCTTTCAAATAGTAGAACAAAGAAGATTTGCGCCTTACGGGCCCTTTCCTTTCCCTCTAACTTCCCCCCCCCCCCCACCCCTCCCCGTCGTTCGTCTTACCATAGTAATTATAGTCATCTTTCGCTGCTAAAACAGTTTGGCATATTGAACGTTGTGTGCTTTCCACGGTTTTCAAAATACAAATTACTGTAAGATTATTTCTATGACTTCTGACACTTACCTCTACATTTTTACAAATGAAATACTTGTCAAAAAATTATTCTTTGAGCGAGATTCCCTACAAGATACAATATAGACTAGAAATAGAAGTTCTTACAAATGCGTATGGCTCGTTCAAACATTCAAAATTTCTACCATAGATCAAATATATTAATATCAATTGTTAAACCTTCTACTCCTAGTTGTATTCCACGGAACAAAAGCTGTAGTACACATCCACTCTGCCTTCGCAGTCTCACCATTTTGCCTCTTTTACCACCGTCATAAATCATTTCACATTCGGTTTCACTTTAGAGTCTTGGAATACACTTCAAGCAGATTTCTCTGGGAATAACTGCGCTAAGTGCTCTCATTAATGGCAACTACAGTTGTAGCGGTGGAATCCGGCCAAAA